AAATTGCATTAAAAGGAGGCACAGCCTAGAAGAGAGATGAGGAGTACAGGGGGATTAAGGGGAGGGAGGATCGATGCGCCGCTCAAAGGTAGTGCCTAACAAATCATCTCAAAAAATTAAGGCAAGGCCGGATGGCGGGTCAGCAAGCTCATGCATATCGTAGGAATAGACGAGACTGTGCTTCGAGAGCCAGTCTGCGGCTCTATTCCCTTCGCGGTATGTATGAGTAATGTTATCCAGCCAATCACGTCCAAGCTTCCTACGGATTAGCGAAAGGGGAGTAGCATATGGATGAACTGAGTCCACTCTATTTTGAATAAGTTGGATGGTCAACTGCGAATTAGATTCTACCTTAACCATTCGACAACCCACTTTCCAAGCAAGCTCTAACCCTTGATTGAAACCCCATATCTCTGCTAGAGCAATCGTAGTTGTTCCGATGTTAGCCACAAAACCCCATATCCATTGGAGATGAGAAATTAAACCCACCTGTGAAGATGGGACCTCTAACCATTCCTTTGCTACCGTGTGACAGGGGATAGAGAAAATTGAACCCCTTGTCGACGGCAATGGAGAGAGAAACTGAATTCGGTTTTTATTGACATGCGACAATGAACGAGAGTTATTTTGTCACACAATATAGTAAAAAATCCCACATTCCTAAACAAACAAGTAATTTTGTCCAAATAACGGATTATAAGCGTGAGAATTTGCCCTAAGACCTAAATTATTGATCGAAACGATCCCAAGAGAATAATTTGTTGCCAATAATACATATAATGATTTATTTATCGGCCAATACTACGGTGCCGCTATTAAAAGTGCGGCACCCGTGCCGCCAATTTCTATTGGTCCACGTAATACACATGTGGCGTTGGTTGATTTCCTAAAACCCAGACCCAGGTCAAATTTAACAAACCGAAATCCGGTTCAATCCAAACTCCCGTCAACCTACGCATCCATTCCAAATTCCGTCAATTCAATCAATGGCTCTGCTCGCTTATTCGAACTTCCTCTCCATCTCGTCGCCGTCTCACGTCTTCTTCTTGCCTTCCACCTCCCCCCCCCCCCCCCTTGCTGGTTACGTGTCGCGACGATTCCCGTCGGCGAGCTGACTACAACGGCTTCCCCAAAACATCGTTTGCTTCAACTCGTCGTACAATGTCCAGATAGTGGTGGGCGAGAACGAGCCGACGGAGAGTCTTCTGAACAGATTTAGGAGAGAAGTGAGGAGGACCGGGATAAATCATAAATCAGGTGCGCATGCGGCGTAGGTACTCCAAAAACAAGCAGGACGAGAAGAAGCGCAAGACTCGCGAAACTACTAAGGGGAATGGCAAGGTAATATTAGGTTAAATTCAATTACACGAATGAATGCATTGTTAGTTTCAGTTTGCGCGCCGGAAATTTGGTGCTTTGAGGTACTAGAGAATTTTCGCTTTAGATTTGGATGAGATGAAGAGCCTAGAATTTTGTTGTATGAAATGAAGAGCTTTGAACACTCTGGGTGGGTGAAATTCATCATCTACCAGAGGAGAGAATTCGTTGAGATGGGATGAAATTAAGAACTTAGAACTCTTGTTGTCTGAAATGTTATGGGAAGATCTGTTAACATTGGCTACTGCTCTGTGCTCGAGGTGGGTTTTTGTCTTGAAATTATGCAAGGAAGGTATTTACTATTTAGAAGTTAAAGTGAGTTCACTATAAAAATGGTTACTAACTGAACTTATGTAAAGTTGGTTATGAATCTTATGGGGTTTTTTGGTTTAACAAGAGTTGTCTTGTTTTCAAACTCTTTCAGGGAAAGTACACGTTTCTCTAGTTTAGAATACAAGAAATGAGGTCTCTCCTAGTTCTGAAAAATTAATTGCCTTGGCTCAGGTATTCTAATGTTCTTCCAATCTTTTTGCTTTTACCTCTTTATATCACTAGTTCAGTTATGAAGGGGATTTGGTTATATCCTTTTAGTTTCAGTTCTTATGGAGAAATGGTTGACCAAAGAGAAAAGAAATCCTAATTAATTCTGTGTGGGCTGATTTCCAGACATCTTAGGTGACTCTTATTTTATGGCTGGAGATGATATTACCAAATTGCAAGCTCCGTTTTCTGATACAGACAAAGCTGATTCATGTGGTTGTCCCTAACACGATAGTCAAGTTAGCAATTCATGTAAAAAGGCATTTAATCCGTGTGAGAGAAACGAGAATCATACCCTTTGCCTCAACTCAGCTAAGGTTATTGGACGCACTGTTGTCAATGTCAACACTCATGTTCTCTTTAAAGCTAGGGTGAGTCGTTATTCTTTTGCTGAATAACAATTGGGAACTGATTTTGAATTGTTCTAATGTTCTTTTCCCCTTTTCACTTTCAGCCTCATTTGGTACTTCGACTAGTTTCCTAAATCGTACGAACACACGAGTTATCGAGTCATGGATGCTGGAATGGGAGGGTCGGTTTCACGTTTACCCTTTGTATTTCTGGCTTAAAAGAGCAGCTCACTTTTATGCTCTTGTTATTGTTCTGTTCTTGGTCTCTCCTTCCTTCTTTCATCATGTGCTTTTATTTGTTCTACTATTGGGGAAGGCTGCAATTTGCAATGGGAAACTTACAAATTGGATTGTTTTTAAGTTTTTGTAATCTTCTCTTGTAGTGAAGAGGTACTTGCATATACGAATAGATTTTCTTCATGACGTGGAGTTCCAAGTTAACATGTGGGTTATTGTCTTTAGGTGACTATGTGCGACAGTGCGAGGGGACTATCCAGTTGGAAGGGATGATGCTGCTCAATTGCCTACTTCGCAAATCTTAGTTGAGATTGGATATGTTGGTATTCTGACTCGTTATCTTTTCACTGGTGGAAATAATTATTTAGCTCTCTAGAAGGTCAGCAATCTCTTATTATCGGGCTGTTGTGCTACCTCTGAAGGAAGAGCACAACTTGTTTCTAGTTTGAGCTCTTATTCCGTTGCATAAACCGAAGTGCATGCCGATGTACCACCAGCAGTTGTCATCATACTGCATAACTTAGTTCATTGAGAAAGACTGCAAGCTTGCTGATACTGTGATAAGGTATTTGCTGAAATATTGGCCATTTACGATTACGAACAATGCTAAAGAGGTAATGTTCTTGAGTGAACTGGAGGAGGTTCTGGAAGCTGCTCAGCCTGCAGAGTTGCAACATCGCATGTTGCCTTTGTTTCGGCAGATTAGTCGGTGCTTGAGTAGTTCCCACTTTCAGTTATCTTTGTAGGATATTCTTGGTAATTTGATTTTTGTCGTTCTATGTTTTGAATGGTGAAACTTGGTTCCTTTGTTTTATTTTTGTGAATCAGTGAATCTTCCACTTCTCGAGATGGGGCTGAACAAGTATGAATCATTCTTCCAAGAACACCAGTAGTTCAAGCAGGCTAACTAACCAAACAAACTCTGTAGTCATACCACCATATCCCAAAAAGAATCATGTATCTAATTTTGCAGAAGGAACCCAATTGAGGACATTCCATTTCAATTGGGTGCATACCCATTTAAGTACAGTGCATATACTGCAGATCAGTGGCAAAATTTCATTCAATCAGAATTTCAAAGGGACATAATGAACCCTTAAAAACTTGAACCCAGAAACACCAAACTTCAAAATTTTACATACACACGATTTAGGGGGTTTGGAGATTGAAAATCACCTAGTCGAACTCAATTTTGTGGACCTGCATTGTGTAGGGACCAAAATTCAGTGAACTTTGCAATATTGCTATCAGTTCTATTCTCATGCAAAGCTACCAATGCCATCATCGTTGTTCATCTATAATACAACTTAGGAAATGAATCAAAAGGGAGTTGCAGCTGGAGGGAAGAACCTTGAACTGAGTTGTACAGATTTTCCCCTTCTTCTTTGAGTGAGCTCGGTGGATCAATTCTTTGAGAATCACTGGGGCGTGGTGGAAGGTTAGGCTGAAATATTAAAAGCTTTGCATTCTGAAGCCCAGTTCTTCCAACAGAGTGGCAATTTGATCACACGAGGTAAGCGTGGAAGTTGCAGCAAGAAGAAAGAGCCATGAGCTAATGGAAAAGGTCGAGCTTTGTTAGTATCCGAATTCCGAACCCCGCAGTGGGATTGAAGATCCACCAACGACGACAGCGGCAAAGAATTTGAAGATTCTTAGAGGGAGGGAGATCAGGGAATCTGGGCGTGAGAGGGAGAGGGAGAGAGAGAGACGCCGACGGATGGTGTCGCAGATCGATGAAGTTCACAGACAGATCTTGGGAGACGAAGATTTGGGGATGGATGTCGGTGCTTTGGAGGAAATTGGGAGCTGCAAAGTCTCGAAATTTTGCGACATTAAGGCGTACGGAGAGCTTTCCGTCCGTTTGGTTAGCTGGCGGTCGGGGCCACTTTTTACCCGGTCAATGTTTGGTTCGGACTAAATGATTCCAATCATGCCATGTCATAGTCCACTTGGACCAATCAGAAATTGCGTCACCGGTGCCGCACTTTTTATAGCGGCACTGTAGTATTGGCCTTATTTATCAGCACATAGTGAAAATGTTGGGGGGCAAACTACAGAGAGTGCAATCCACTAATCCTACGGTCCTATGGGCCATGTTATAATCGAGTGGGCTAGCGAAAACGGGCCATTACAGATAACAACAGCCCATACCTTAATTGGCCCATTCAATTATATGCCTCTTACGGCCTCCAAAAACTGGCTCACAGGTCGAGTACTGAACAGCGAAGCAGCGAGGACCAATTTATCTCCCCCCGGAGCTGCTGATCGAAGGTTTCCCGGTGAAGACATTTAAATGTAGGAGTTTGATTCCATACTCCTCCCATCTCCCAAAATTTCCAACTTTTCCCCAAACAACAATCGCTTCTTGGCTGGGCTCCTCTGTCCGGCTAGCAAGCCGAAATGCAGAACGTGCTGAATCACAAATTCGATACTCTGCCCTCACAGCATCACCATGGGTTCTTCGAAATTTCAGCAACGAGTCGCCCTTCATCGCTACTTTTGTCCCGAACCCAGATTCATCTCCCAGTTATTTGTGCAAAGAAGGCCAAGAGGGGATCTGGGCATCAGAAGGTAGCCGAGATTTTGCCCAAATTGGCCTTCTCCATGGCTTCCAACCTCAACTTGCTGCCCGAACCGCTGAGTCTGATTCTGGCGGAACTCAGCACTTCTGGGTGTGGAGGTGGAGGTGGGTCCAGGTCTTGGAAGGGTTTTGGCGGCGGCAGCGGAGGAGGATGGGGTAGAAGAAAGAGAGGGAAGGGGAACTTTGTGATTCTGTTAGGCTTGTTTCTAGCTTCCGGAGTTGCCATTTTGTTGTTTTCCTCTGGCAAAGCAGATAAAGATTTGATCATTGGAGTTCTGGCTTCGGCCTTAATTTCAGCAGTTTTGCTTGAAGGGTTTGGTAGAGGCGCTAGGGATTGTCTTCTAGGGTTCTGCATTTTTGGCGTTGGAGTTACTTTGGGCTCGAGAAGAGACGATTTGCAGAAACTGGCGCAGAAGCAGGGGTTCACTTTCCCTTCAGTTTTGCACCTTGCTAAGGGAAGAGGAATAATAAGAAGAAGACGCACTTCAAAACTTTGGTAACTTGCCATAGCTACAACTGTTTTCTATTAGGTTTCATGCTGTTTTTGGTGTGATTGTCTTGCAATTTTAGAGATGAGTCGTGAAACTGGTTTTGGTTTGTAATTCTTTCATCAGTTGGAGATTAATGATACGACAAACAGACATTGAACAAAGCAAATCCTGAAGCATCAACTTAAACTGAAATATCACGTTAAAGGTTCCGGAGTTGCAGACATGTTCATACATTTGATTGTTCCATTCCCAACAGATGGGAGACGCAGAAAGAAAAGAAAGGCAAATTCTACGTCACATGATCATATAACAAACACAGACCGACCACAATGATCATATTACAAACACCAGCCGGAAGCAATTGTCTTGACTCACTCTGACCCCGAAGACAGTAAAGCCAAAAGAAACACATGATAATAGATAGATGAAGCACCAAAGTATGAGAATAAAATGGTTCAGATGCTGGGTTTGCGTTTTCTTGATAGACAAGTCATTTTCTCTTCATTAAGGAAGTTCAGACATTTGACAGACAGCAGGCATGTTGTTCCATGCACAAGAACCAAGTACCCATCCTTGACTTGGCCCCGATGATGTTCCTGCAGCAGCCATCTGCTTGTAGTCACTGCTCAGATCGTCACCAAGAAGAGCTGCTATGGCATCGGTCATCACGACTTGATCCTTGACACCATAGCCTTTGCCAGATCCTTGTTCAAGCCAGTCAGAAGGGAGTAATGCATCAGGTCTTGTAATAGTATCCCTTTCCCTTTCTCTTACTGGGGTCAAGGCATAGTCCTCTGCTTCTGACTTTATCTCACGCCCTGTAAGACGAAAATTTTATGTCACAAACTACGGATGCAACAAAATGAAAGCTTGTGACTTGAGAATCAACACAAACCCAGATCAATAACAGAGACATGCTGGAGAGGATTGCCAAAATGCTAAAAAAAATGCGTCAGAAACATGAAGCAGAGTCTCGATAAACACAAAGTGGAGTGAAGGCATACCTGTAAAGGGCTCTATATGTGGTGGTTGTTCATCTAATGAACTTCCACTGGCACTGATTGGAGGAGTGCATTTACTGAAAAACGAAGTTGCAGTAGTATGGCCCAAGGGAGAAAGTGGGTCACTATAGTTGTCCCATTCTGCTGCATCACAAGCATTCAGGGTCGAACTGTCTGCAATATCACCAGGGGTAACTGTTGAGGAATTCGAACTCTTCTCTGAAGAATAATGATTCTTAGCACTACTTAGAGCTTTTGCCTCATGAAGTAAAGCATCCAGTAGGCCACTATTACGAGGAGAAGAACAATTTGACCCAACAGTAGTACCAGTAGCACGTGGAGATTGGATAAAAGTATCAACCGATTCAAGGAGAGGTGGTGGAGAAGATATTACTCCCCAGCTACCGGAATCGAAATATTGGAGTGAAGGGAGCTCCAACTTCATAGCCGCAGTAGTTGGCTTAGAAGCAGAGAAGTTGTTGCCATATAAAAGGGTATGGCCGTCCTGATCATCACCAAGTGGTTGCTGTTGTTGGATCTTGTTGGTGCTGTTTAGATCAGAATCGAATGGGAAGGACAAGCCAAAGGACTCAGAAAACAAGAAATCATTTCTCCCACTACCACTGTATGACACAGAAGTTGATGATTCTCGAGGCCGTTTCTGACCATGATACATCAACGGAGAACTGAAGCTATCATATCGAGAACCCCCCATCCCTTTCATCAGCATGTTATCAGGAAGTTCAGGAGCAGAGTTAGATATCCTCCCCTGACTGGGTTTTAAGCTGTCAAATGGGACATCAGGGATCTCATAGCAGTTGTGCAAGAGGTGGTCATGATGTCCTTTAGACCTGTAACTTGTCCCACCTATGTTTAAGCCCTGTTGACTAGCCCGATATGGGTGCAAGGAGACTTCAGGGGGGTAAAGAGGTAAACCAGCCCTTTGACGTCTCTTGATTCTGGTGTTCCAGTAATTCTTTATTTCATTGTCTGTACGTCCAGGCAACTGCAAGAGCCAAAAGAGACTTTAAGTTAAAGAGGTTACATTACCTGGATAAGAAATAATAGCATTCGTCAACGAAACTCATGGTACATGTTCAAGATTCTGTTTCTGCATAACCTACTTACAGTTCAGAGCCAAACGCATCTACCTAATATGGCCCCTATACTCCACTGCTACACAATTTTATCTCCATTTTGTAGATAATTCGGCAGCAATATTGTGCTTCTATTCAGATTTTCAATTAGAGTTCAAAATATTGAATAAGAGTTAGAATACATAACTCATCGTGAAAATCAAGTAATTCCCTGATTAGAAGAAACAGTATCAAACAAGTGTCAACATGTGACTATTTTCAAGAAACTTTCCAAAATGAAAAGGCAATAAAGTAGCAAAGAGAACCACATGGTAAATGACTTCTGAAATAAAACCAGCAGCCTAACACAGCATCAGTTAAAGCAAATGACTTCTGAAAACTCAAACGGACGGACCAGAAAGGAGAAAATCATCAAGTAGTTAACTTCTTAAGTGTGGCCAAAACTACTTTCAGGTGAGATCCAATAGTAAGAAAAAATTCCCTGTCACATCAAGTAACACAGAATCATTTACATACACACAGACTTACATGAGCGGCCATGCGAGCCCACTTATTCCCCATTTTGGCATGAAGCTCGATGATTAGCTGTTCTTCTTCCTGGGTAAATGCTCCTTTCTTCAAGTTTGGCCTCAGGTGGTTAGCCCATCTCAACCTACAGCTTTTCCCACAACGAGAAAGACCAGAATGCTTCTGAACCGCATTCCAGTTCCCTTCCCCGTGTTTCTTCACATACTCCATCAAGATTGCATCTTCTGCAGCTGTCCATGGACCTTTCTTGAGATTCATTTCCCCATTTATATTTCTAGCAGAATTTCCTTCTTCGACCAGTGGAGATTCTATCTGATCCTTGGGGAGAACAGAATCTTTGCCTTCATTTGTCATGCGACTCATCTCCTTCTAATAAAAAGAAGGCAAACACCGTATCATATAGCTGAAAATCATTCAATCAAACAGGACAGAAATCAATGGGGGAAAAGCAAAAGGCAAACACCAAATAAACGTGAAGGCACCGCCTTTTTCTCCATAGCTTTTCAATACTTGCACTCAATCTCTCTCACACGTTCAATCTCTTTCAAAAAACTCTTTAGAGAAGCAAGACAAACAATAAGTCCAGTAAAAGTATCCATTGTTTATGGGAAAGAAATGAAAAGGGCAGCCAAAGCACATAGAAACAAATTGGACTATGCAAGCAAAAGACCTGATGGCCAAGACACCACAATTCACCTTATATTTTCAGAAATAGATAATTACCAGTGAAGAAGACAAAGAGAAAATATAAGGAAAAGGGCAGCACTGGTCAAAACAATCTCAGACGTTCACACTGTATATGAAACAAGGTCACTGAATAACAACTGGAGACCTCAAAAGTTCACTATATATAGAACGGTTCACCAATAACAGCTCAGCAGCATGAAGCAAATTAAATTCTGTAGCTACAGAGACCAAATACGGATAGAGAAACTAAATAACACTCCATTGATTGACATGACTTTTACCAAATTGAAAATGCAGAACCAGCAGGCGCAAAACGACAAATTAGAACGAGAAATTACAAGCAGCTCCCTTCCTTGAAACGAACATGTGGACCAACTACAAAATGCTCGCTCTAATGACCAACCAAAATCTCTCTAAAGAGAACAACCAATCAGTGAAGTTTTCTGAAATACTGAAAAGTTAATAAAGATGCCAAACCTGGAGTTGGATAATAAAAACCCTTCCATCTATTGAAGTCAACGACGGTTACCAAATTGAAAATGAAAAACCAGTAGGCGCGGCGCAAAACCACAAACTAGAACTGAAATTTACATGCAGCTCCCTTCCCAGGTAGATTAAATGGGCCAACGACAAAAGAACTCTCAATAGAGTGACCCATCAAAATTCTCAAAAATAATAATGTATGGGTGATTTGTCACAATGTCAATAGATAAACAACTTTGTAAAAGAACTACAAACCCAAAGATCGAAATAGAAAAAGTTAAACCCTCGAAAACTAGGCAAGTCAATGTACTTCTCTTATAAAAAGATCAGAAAACAAGAATGTTTAAAAACATCACTTACAACGCAAATTATGAGGAGCTCCCTCATTCGAAATGATCACTTGAGACACCGAAAACTCTAGGGGGGAAAGAACAACCTAACAGTGATGTGTTGTAATGCTGATAAAATTAACAGCTAAAAGCCCGCTAATCAAACCACTAATCAAACAGATGGAAAAGAAAAACGACAATATACAGTCGGTCTTTGTTCACAGAAACGACAGAAGCAAGCTTTACTCGATCGACGCTTTCTTCTTCACAGTTTATTCGATCAAAAGAGACAAAACTAGCTAGTTATACATTTTTAATGTAGAAGTTCCACCAAGGGATTTTCATTTGCATACCTGAATCAGACCAAGTTGCCAAAACAGATTGCTCACAGGTTTGCTTGACCAAAACAAGGCGTTGTTATTGGCAAATGCTCTGATATCTTCGTGTGAACAACAGACTGATAGCTGATGAACCAGCAAAAATAAAAAAAAACCTGGAAGAAAGAACAACAAAATTTGAAGTCCCAAGCCCTAATAAAGCTGAAGAAGGATGATATCAAATCAATAAAATTAAACACAAGGAGCTCTAAAATCCAAACATTCAACATCCCGTAGCATCCAAAAGGATAGAGAGCTGATGAAGTAACCAAAAGGAAGAGGTAAGCCTATTGCACACAACTTATTTTGTTGACCAACCAGAATCTCCATCTCCATAAATGGAAAACATGGCACCATTTATTGCAACCATAAACACATTAAATACGAAGTCATCGAGAAGGGGCAAAACAGAAATGGCGCTAAGTCGGACATGAAATTAATTACCATAAAAAAAACACTCGAAACTTTCAGTTCGCTTAACACAAAATCCAGCTACTACAGACAAGAAAAAAGCCATTGTACGACAATGCCAACGAAAATGAAAGGGACAACTGAAAGGACAAAAATAAAGGGGAGGTACCTGAATCAGAGACCAAGATGCCAAGATAGTAAAGCCCGCAGCTTTATTAAGCTGAAATTGGACCCTCTCTTGGCAAAATGTTCAGAGGTGTTGGACGAAGGAAGTCAGGGACGATAGAAGGGCAAAAATGGAATACCTGTGAACCACAGAAAAGGAATGAGAAACTACATAATTCAGCTCAAAGTAATCACAGCCCAGAATTATGGTTTGCACTTGCAGTCAAATAGCACAATCAACTGAGATTGAAGTGCTGCTCATGGGTTCCCCGAAATTCAAAACCCTAACTTTCTGCAACCAACTAGGTGGGGGCAGAAACGGGAAATGAAGGCAAGCTGAGAATTTTTTTTTTTTTTTTTTTGTTAACCAGTTAGTTGTCTACAGATCCGAATAGAACACAAACCCTAGCCAGCTAGCGTAGCCATAGCGAAGGAGATTGGCCCAAACGGTCAAAAGAAGAAGAACAGAGAAGCTGCAGAGGAAGAGAGGGAGAGAAATGGAGATCTTCGTTTGCTAACCTCAATTTTTGGAGAAGTACAAATAAGATCTGAGCATGGAATGAGCAAAACATTTAAGAGATCCAAAGCTCCCAGACTCGCAGAAACACACAATACACCACAGAACACCCCGCCGAGAAACAGAGAAAGAAAGAGTGGAGAAAATCAGAGAATCCGGTGGGAAACTGAAGCAGGGGAATCCCCCAAATAGCAAATAAATGATGAAGACGGAATTGAAACTTTAGGAGAGGAGCCAAAGGAATTATTGAAATTGAATAAAGAAATATAGGTTTTTTAAATCCGGGGTTTTTTTTAAATAAATATTATTTACTCAAATAAGTGGCAGGTAAGATTATTTCATCATTTAACCTTTTATTTTGAAATTTTTAGCTTATCTGGTGATCTATTATCTACTAATTATTTTTGTTGAAGAAATATTATGTTCCTTTTGGAGCTGTGATTTATCATGGGTTAATATTTTTCGTATGACCTGAACTTTTATCAAAATAAACATCCTGGCCAATTTTTTTGATCTATAACATCCTGCCCTGAACTATACACCAAAATAAACAATTTGGTCAGATCCGATTTTTGACCGTTAACTTGGACGGTCAAACGCGTTGATAGTTAGTCAACGCGCCATGTCACTGCCAAGTCAGCATAAAATATTTAAAATAATTCACAATTTCCACACATTCCCTAATTTTAAATTATTATAAATTAAAAAAATCATCTAATACCTTAGTTAAACCAAAAATAAAAAAATTAAATATTAATCAGATCTTCTGACTTGGCAGTGACGTGGCGCGTTGACCGTTAGTCAACGCGTTTGACCGTCCAAGTTAACAGTCAAACATCGGGTTTGGCCAAATTGTTTATTTTGGTGTATAGTTCGGGCCATGATGTTATAGATCCAAAAGATTGCCCAGGATGTTTATTTTGGTCAAAGTTCAGGCCATACGAAAATATTAACCCATTTATCATTACTTAATTTACTGCCTCACACAGTTCCAAAAACAATTTTGGTAACTATGATAAATCACAATTGAATCATCACTCTATAAATGTACAATTATGAATGACAATGGGTGGGCTAGTTTGGTTCTGCTGTAGTTTTGACAAAAGTAGCTTATGACTAGAGCTTTTAGAAAAATACTTTTCAAAAAAGCAATTAAATGTTTGGATGAAAAACTATTAGAAGTGTTTTTCAATATGAGAGGTTATGTAAAATGACTATAAAAGACTTATAATATAAACTATGAATAAAAATTCTAAACAATAAAAAGTAGTCAAAATGTATCTTGTTAGATTTCTTTTATATTAAATAATATGATTTTATAATTTATTTTATTTTTAAAATGATATAAATGAAATAAAATTATTTTTTTGAAATAAAATTAAAATATGGTAAAGGATAATCTTATACTTTTAAAACAGCTTTTCGCAGAAGCTGCGAATCGGAGCTTCTGCTTTTATGTTACACAACAGCGTTTTCAGCTTTTCAAAAGCCGAGCTTTTAGAGTTGTTTTATGTTTGGCCTTGCTTCAGCTTTTAAAATCGAAAAATAAATCTAAAAACCGGGTGCAATATTAATCCAACCCAATAAATCATACATTTCTTTTGTTTGAAAGCAAAAATTATCCGCTTCATACAAGTTAGGGTATCGATACTACTTTTCTACCATTTTATTATATATGTCCTGAGATTTATTCATATCTCTTCTATTCTAATTTTTTTTAAAATAACAATTTAGCTCACGGGTTCCCCTAATAAAAATATGGAGAGGTGAGAATATATGTCTCTTAAATGGTATGACTCTATTTTCAAGTTATTCTCTCTTTCGCATTTAGAAAATGTTTTCCCTATTTGTTCTCACATAAAAAAATGGTTACATTTATTTTCTTTGAGTAGTATATTTAAATGAATGTACAGCAACTTGAAACAACACGAATATTATCCCACTCAACCCACATATAACCCAAAACATACATATTCCCATGCTATGGACAAAGTGTACACAATCATTTTCTTTTACTCAAATAGCTAGACAAATCTTATTTTCATTTTTTCTGTAGAATTGATAAATGCGAAATGGACAATGACATTTTTAGTACTAGCTTGTATTCCGCCCATTGTTCGGAAAATTGAATTAGTTAAAATTATAGTTTTAAACAAATTTGAGATTTTAATTAATCGGTATGATGCGAATATTATACGACTTGATAATAGTTAACTAATGAATTTCGTTGTCATGGTCGAATTACTAAAGGCTCGGGAACATGTAAATATATATATGTTTTTATAAATCGTAAGTATCCACATCATAATATTTTTCAAATTACATTATTATATGTATCATAATAAATAATCTCAACTTATATCTTAACACCTTATAGATACTAAACAAATTTATTTAGTATTCAAAATGGCTGATCAAAATTTGGAAAAAAATGGTGATATTGCTCCTCAACTGATCAAAAGTTTCAATTCTTGGGGAAGTATCATGATCATCTTTAACGCTTTTCCTTTGTTGGATTCTTTTTTCATCCTTGGTCCTGAACGCTCAAGGATGATTTGTTATGCTTACATTTGACTTTGTTGCTCAATAATTTTAAATAAATGAAGTTGCTATTCGCCCCGTCAATTCTCCGGACCCAAATAACTCAATTTTCTCCTATAAACTATTCGGGTAATGTATTTGAATGTACCTTATATGTCAACAGTAAACCTGGCTATACTCCATACACCCTATAACTCCAATCTCAAGCGATTGCAATTTACACACAAAAAAAATGCACGCCTTAAAATCCAAAATACGACATCATGCAACAAGGTTGTCAAATTGGTTCCAACAGTTAACCCGAGTAAGCAAGGTGATCACGTTTCAACGGGTTGAACCAAAATAAAATGATTTGACTCTGGTCGTTTGGAAGTTGCGATTGTTCTTACCAGCGACGAATCCAGAACACAAAAGAACACTAGGCCGCATTTTATTAGAAAATTAGAACCATAAAAAAAATTAATGATTATAGTTTTTTTACAATGTAAATTGTACACAACGGTATCTTAATTTAGAAAATGTATCAATAATATAGTCCACATCCATACCAATAGTATACATTATCCCAAATAAAGTACTTGAGCAATTGGCAAGAAATTCATCGCTAATTTATTGTGCATATAAGTTTTTACATGTTTCTTTGTTCAAAAGGTTCTCTCAGGTTCTCTCTGTAGTTGTTGAAACGAGCAGCATCAACACTAGACAAATCAATATCAATTTGCATTATGTGTCCATCCCTATACCACCAGTTGTCTAGTAAATATTCAAGGTAACAAACCTTATATTTCTTTTAGTCTGCTATGCTTTAGAGTTTTAGTTTTCATTGTTTTTTTTAGACGAAAAATCTTTGGGGCTTGACTAAATTTAGAGTAGTGATTTGAATATATTCATCTAAATCAATTTGCTAATTATATCCAATTTTATTATAAAATAGCATTGGGCCGAATACCTAATATCAAAAAATTCATAAGGCCTATACTAACTATGGATCCAGAGGAGGGCTGGACCGGGGCCCGGGGTGGCCACCCCCTGGATCCGCCACTAGTT